ACAGGCCCAGGTTCTCACAAACCAAGGTCTTCCTTTACCCTGACGGCTTAAACACCGTTGCCAGTCCGCCAAGATTAGCAGGCGAATACTGTCCTCGATCTGATGTATTTGCTGGTTGGTATTGATTGATTCATTCTTGAAGACCATGGAGTTTTTGGCTTTCCAGAGTATCTGCATGATTGCACCTTTACAGGCCAGGGCTACATATCCCCAGCCCTCAGAAAGAGAGGTGTTTGAGGTAGGTAGCGAACAGTATAACACCCAGTCATCTGTCCATAGGAAGGGATCTTGTGTTATTTTTTACCAAAGTGAAGACCACCATTGCCAAACTGCGTCTGCCAACGGACACTGAACCCAAAGATGTGCGTTTGATTCCCACCCCCACTGACATCTGCTGCACGTGAGCGACAAGTCCATGCCTCGTGACGCCAGCCAATCCGTTGTAGGAACAACTTGCAAGGCTTGTGCCCATAGGAGACTTGAATCTTGCTGCTATGGGAGTTTTTTCAACGCACGCCATAAGTTGTGCCAGTCCGGCGCACCCGCCAGGGAGCCTTTGAGTTTCGCGTATCTGCTGCTAGCTATTGTCATGGGCGTATTCTCCGTCGATGCCCTTAGAGCCATGACACCCACTTTTGGAGCATAGTTACATAGGGGGACAAACTCTCCCCTCCCTTGCCTCCACCCCAAAAGTGCTGGTTCTGTCCGAAAATCCTCTGCATTTCCTAGCAGAACATAATTCTTATGCTGAGAGAGGACTCTAGCCTCTTGTAGGCCCTGTGTTGTCATTATTGTCCTTTGGTGTTGTTGGATGAGAACTCTCCCCTTTCCTGCCCTGGGCGCCTCCTTCCATTCCTCCACCCTCCAGCCTTCCCCCAGGTCTGGGCCAATTATTTTCCATATCCCTGAGTGCTCCTCCTCTGCTCTCACCCAAGTTCCCTCTGTATGTTCCGCTTCACTACTCAGAGCCGCCTTCCAATGCTACGGTATCGCTTCTATCAATTTAGCTCTGTTCTCCACCACCGACCGTAGGCGTGGTAGTCTCAGTTTCAGCGGCTCCACTGTGAGCCAATCATCTCGAACTTCGTCCCAGAGATGGCGAATCAGAATCACTCCTTTCTCCATCCATGCTTTGCCAAACCCACCCACCTTGTTGTTCGCCGCGAAGGACTCCCGATCTGGGGGGGCTATCAGCGGATTATCAAACAGGCATTGAGCTTGGATCTCCAATATAGAAGTAGGTGGGGTTCTCATTTCTGGTAGGAGTTTCTTCCAGGCGTATAAAATCCCCCTCCGTACCCTTGATTTAAATCTTGTGTTCAAAAAGGAGGGGATTAATACACAGTGCCATGCATCCCCGGGATCCGACAGATCCCACTC